ATTAACAAATAATCTTGACAAGAAATATAAAAAAGGCACCAGATATAAAATAGACTTTTATAATAAACATGCCACATGAATAGGTGCTAATATTAAAAAAAAGGTAGAGATATGATCAAGAATTCGTCAACTGGTTTAACTGTAAGATTCTAAAAAATCAATAAAGTGTTGCGAAAGCTTTTCAATACATCCATATCTTTGAAAACCGGAAAACTGACTTATAGAAGATTTGCTAATACCTAAAAAATTTTTTCAATCATAAAGTTTTGGAGTTTCGAGATTTCGGAAGGAATTTCAGGTTTCGGATAAGGTTTCGGGTTTCAGATGAGGTTTTGAGTTTCGGATGAGGTTTCGGAAATTATAATCCGAAACCTGAAACTTTCGGATTTGGCAAAAAAGGATTCGGTAACCAACTCTAATGCAAATTAATATGGCTCACATATATATAAATTTTTATCAATTTGTTAAATGGTTGTCAAGATATTTCTATTAAAAATTAAAATATTAAATTGTTTTATGTCACTGAGTGCCGCAAAAATTCTGCCCATAACCTTTTTATAGCAGATGCCTCGAAAATCATCCGTTCTCGAAGTTTATATTCAGCATTAAAATTTTTTTTAAAGGGATTCTATTCTCAAGATATATCTCAGGAATTGAATCTTCCTTCGTTTGAGAAAGGTGATGTGATTTTGGTAACTCGAAAATTTCAAATTGTTGACTATATGGATGAAAATGTAATAAAACTCAAGCTTTAAAAGTAAGTTGATATTATTGTTCATGTAGCCCAGATAAATATCAGTTCCGATTAACTCACCATCAGTCATTTTACTGAATGCTCATCTAGCTGACATCACATAGGGTTAGGGTTAAACATTTAATTGGTTGCAGGCATATATTTCTACTAAATTTTACCTGTGTGATGTTGGCTAGATGAAATGATTGTTGGTGAAATGATACATACCCTGGATAATATATGTATAGTGTTTTATTATTTTAAATTTTGTTATGTTTAAAATCTGCTAATAATTAGTCTCATAGCTTATGTACTAATTAATCTATATATTTGTTATTTAATCATATGTAATAATTATTTAATTATGCATATATGATAAAGACTAATAAGTTTTACCTTATTTATCAAAATGATAAATTAATTTATATACAGGTAATTTTGAACGATTTTGTTTACCATAAAATAGATCAAAGTAATATTCTGAGTTTCCAATTCTGATCAATATAACTGCGGTAGTAGAAGAACCTCCTGTTCTGGATGAAGATAAAGATGTTAAGATGACTGTTATAATGAATGACTATGTAGACCAAGATTCGATAAAAATTTTAATTGAATATTAGTATTCAGCATTTGCTCTGCATTTAATGCGTATAACTGAGATTATTAAAAAGAATTTGATTCTATATATTAATGGCAAGCTTATATTATATGAGAATGCTAACTATGTTTATGTTAAATCTTTATCCTTTCCAGATAGTCAAAAAAAGGAATTAAATCTTTCTGTACCACTTCCGTGGAGATCTGAAGCTTCAGTTGAACCAAATAAATCACCTGTTGTTAAAACAATAGCAACAAGAGTAAAGAACCTTCTTTCTTATTGTAAATAACATGATTAACTGGATTTACAATTTTTAGTTTAAATTTTTTTTTTTTCAATAACTATAAAAAAATTTTTTTTGTATTTATTATTTTTGCTGTTAAATAAAAATCACTTTAGTCTTAGAATTTTATTTTATTTAAAGTGATTTAAATGATTTATAACTTGTAACTGTAATCTAAATATATAGGTAATTAATATAATAGTAGTTAAAGCATGTTACATCTTGACATTATAATAATTTGTCAAAATATACATAAAAAAATTTAGTATAATATAAAATTTATCAATTGTATTATTATCATAACATTACTTAATTACAATTTACATGACTTATAATTTACGACATTACAAAAACAACATGTACTATTACCTCTACATACAATTTACATGATTTATAATTTGCACATTATAATAGCAACTAGTATTATTACCACTACATTATTTAATATATATTTATATGATTTATGATTGCGATTTATATTGTAAAAACAATTCTAGATATCAAGGATAGTAAAATCATTTGCTTCATATTATGCTTTAGAAATACCATTCTGCCAAATAACTTTGGCTTTAATAATATTGATTTCACATTCATAACATTTCTTGTATCTGAAAACAAACATTTACTTGGTATGCTTATTGCAGGAATTGCAAGAAATTTTTGGCTATTTCATTTAAAATCAGAACTTGCCATTTTTTTAAAGACCACCACACTATAGAATCTCTATCGAAATCAAGCTCAAGACATTTTCTGATGTATTATTAAGTTTAGAATCAGATATTTGAATCTGGCCAAGCTTATGTAGCTCTAAACTGCTACACTAAATAGAATAATATAAAATGCAATTATTAGACTGTGCTGCATTTATAACAAGCCTTTCTATAATCAAAGAGTATAAACAATTAGAACTTATGACTCGTGAACTATTACCACTAAATGCTATGCTGTATTATGTTCATACATAAATATAACCTTTAACTATTTATTAAAATTAAAAAATCTACTCTACTCTTAACTAGCACATTACTCTATCATATCATTTTATTTCTTTATCTAATTTATTTTATTTTATTTGACTTATTTATTTTGTGCTGCAAAAAAAGAACAGATTAATGAAACAAATTCTTCGAAAAATCAATTTTTATATTAAATTTTATAATTATAAAAAAACACATTTCTAAAACTTTATCACAGCTTAGAATTAAGCAAAATTTGTAACTTATATCTGCAACTTTATTAATATAACCAGATTTGAATCTTAAGTAAAAAATGATCTTAACCTTATTCTGAATATTCAATAAAATTTTTTTAAAAAAAATTTTAATTTATCGCCCTTTTTGCACCATTTAGCATATATAAATACTACTTAAATATAATATTATTAATACATACAAAAAAAAAACATTCTGTAATCACACTTTATATATTAAACTAAATTCATAAAAAAAAATATCCAAAATAAAATCTCATACCTACTTCAATACCATAAAATGATTTTTATATAATTAACTATCAATAAAACTAATCAAAATCATTTTTGGTTTTAGAAAAGCTAATGCAATAACAACTTCTTAAAGATATATAAAATTAGATTATTATTATACAAACTTCTCTAAAACAAAAAAGATTTTGGTTGTTTTTAATAATGAAGCCTATATTCCCCACCACTAATATTTCTACATCTTATATCGCTACTATAAATCTAGATGAGGTCTATTAGCCTGCTCTAGTAGAGTTTTAGGCCAAGGATAAAGTAGTTCTAGCTATAGATCCCTGTAGTAATTCATATAACTCATTATTTTAATGTAATGCATAAATTATTCAATAAAGACCGAGGCCAGCCCTTACACTTTAAAATTAAAAAATAAAAATAAAAAAATAATGAAGCCTACAATTCTTATAAACTTTCTATATACTTCTTTTTTTGCTTATTATCCATAGTTTAATTTTTTTAAAAAAGTGCTCTAACCTATATAAATAATTTAAAATTGAGTAGAACTAAGATCCAAGGAGGTCAAAGTCTCATTTTTATAAATGACTTCAACAAATGCTTTTCTTCCTTCAAAACCAATTTCATTAAAGGAAAGACTTAGCGAGGACAGAGTTTTATTTTCGCAAAGAGCCTTTGCCAATATTTTTGCATGCTCAGAACCAAGTTTACAATAATAAAGGTTTAATGAAGTCAGATAAGTATTTTTACCAAGGACATTTGCTAATGTTTTTACTTCTTCAAAATTAAGTTCAGTTCGGGAGAGATCTAGTGAAGTAATGGTGGTATTCTCATAAAGATTTTCTATTAAAATTTCTACTATCCTTTTGTCAATAATTTTATCTAAATTTAAATGCTGGATTTTTTGACTTGTCCGTAAAAACATTGCAATTAAAGAATATTTGACTGTTTTAATCACATCTTCAGATCCATCATATTTTCTAAAAAAATCAGTAAAAGTACGAGGTTTATGTACCTCAGGATAAATCCAATTTATAATACCTTTTTTCAAATTACAATTATCAATTAATGCGGTATAAGATGTATATTCAAATAATGGAATTGGACTATTTGAAGGTAATATATTTAACGGAATTAATGGAGCTTTTTCTTCATCATTCAATAACATAAGGTATATCTTTATAAGTCTTCCATCTCTACAACATGATAATGGTTCGCTCCACAAGATTGGAATAATAATTCGGCACCATTGACGGTTTACAAGAAGGCATGAAAATAGGTATCTATAATATTTTTTAAGATTACTAAATATTTCAAAAAGGCATTCATTTGGCAATGCTATCATTTTGAAAGGTTAACGAAAAAAAAAACTAAATTACAGTGTTAATGAAAATTGGTAATTGTTTAAACAAAAAAAGTATAGTATCGCTAAATTAATAATATAATAGCGCATTTATGCCCGGAGTGTTGCGGGGACACTAAGTCCATATTAATAAATTTGTGTAATAACATAAAGATTGTTACGTATACATATCGCCAAAATTGACTAACGAAATAGCAAAGCGGTATGAACGACAATGGAAATCAAAATGTGGTGTGACTTGGGATCACATGATCTTAATCCAGAGTAACTCCAACCATTTTGCGAGTTTAAGCAACTGTGATTAGGTTATAATTCTTGAGTATGATGATAAGTTTAATGAATGGAATTTCGGATTTGTGCAATTATTACATAATCCCTACCGCCAAAAAATTTCCATTGCATATTCTTTAAAGCATATTTTACAGTATTGTAATAAGTGATCTCAAATTAATCAAAGAATTATTTAGGAAATTCCAATCGTTTATTAGCACCTTCGTTGCGTATTAATTACGGCAGACATTTGCAAGAACCTGACCCCCTTATTATTAAATGACATTATTGGAAATATTAATAATTATTATCTAATTTATTCCCCCTTTTAATACTGAACATAAGCCATTAATTATTGATGCTTAAACTCGCAAATCAACAAAGAGTTAATTTCCATTTACGGATTAAGCAGGGTAAAAATCAGAAATTCGTCCTAAAATGGGAATGCACGTACTTCTTATGAATAATATTACATCATGCACTCTCATCACCAATAGAGGCACGGGTGGAAATCTTTGAAAAATATAAAAAACTTTCATGTTATTGTTTATTTTTGAATTTGAATTTATCGTTAGCAATGAATGGCGACATGAAGGCTATATAAATTTCTAACATTTTGATAAAAAAATGGGGTCTTTTTTCTTAATTTCGTTTTTTATTTCCTTTAATTCTTGTTTAATGTTTAATTACGACGAAATTTGTCATAAAGAAAATTAATAATTTTTTCATTTATTAGCATGAAATTTTTTAAATTTTTTACATTGATATTTTTGTTTGGATCCTCTGTAAATGCTCAATCATGTCAAATTCTACAATATGAAGGATATGATGAAGATGATGGATGTGCGAGAATTCACAATGAATATGTTACAAAAAACACAACTTTCTTCACTTATAACGATGTAAGAGATTGTTACATGAGTTTTCCATTCGATAAAGAAATAGCTTCTCAGGTATTTAAAATATAGTAATAAAAATGATAAATGTTGATTTTTTTTCTTACAACTCATTAAATATGCTTAAACTGCAGACAATTGAAACGCTAAACACATTGTTTTATGGATTCTATTCGTTTCTGTATAAGGCAAAAGAACCTCCACAAGGCAGATTTAATTTTAGACCGATGGATCTACTGGCTCAATTGAACCGTTTACAAAGAAAGCGTTACGAAAATTTATATCAATTTATGGTAACTTTTACACTTTCCGATGTCTCTTTTATAACTTTTTTATGCAGTAACTTATAATGCTATTTTATAACAGGACCGTGTTAGAATGCTTATTTTTGAATTGAAAGATGCACACACGAGTTTTGTGACGAATTGTTTTTCTTCATTCGTCTTTTATACAAATTTAACATTATATTCTATAGTTACTGATGATGGTGTACAGGTAACTTGAAATTTTAGTCTATACCTATACAAAGCTTTTTTACCGTCATTATTATTATTATTATCTAACAGTTCTATCATTATATATTACAGAAAATCAAAGTTTTCAATGACACCATTGATCCGACTAATAATAATTGTGAGGTAACTCATATTGATGGTCGCAGGGCGATTCAAGTGATTACCGAATTTCCTAATTATATCTCAAGAGATCTCGGCGTAAGATTTAACGCAGCTCTTGATATTAACTATCCAGGCATCGCATTTTCAACCCGAGTTGATTTACCAAAAACACCAAGCATTACTTACACTTTAAATTGTGATAACCACCCTAAATATGTTAAAAGAAATTGGAGTGTGATTGGTATTGAATCAATCCTAAATAATTTCAATAATTCGAAAACTTATTTTTCCAATATTTGTAAAAACTCTACCGCTTATTATTATCAACAACTTAATAACAAACTTATAGAGATTAAAGAAGCACAAAAGAATGTTTATGATGTAAGATCAAATGAACATGTTACAATAATCTATGATATTAGAGACTTTATTACCTTTTTCAAAAAACAAGATTTCGGTGTTGTTAGAATTTGGACTGAAAGTGTTCATTTAAATAATACATTGGCCATTAAAATTATTAAAGGATTTCAAAAATTGGTAAATACAGGAGTTAAAAAAGTAAGCAATATTACACAATTATACTTATTATAGTAATTATAATATTTGTAGTAATTATAATCATTCATTTTATTAAAGGTCGTCTTTGATTTATCCGACAATCTTGGTGGTTTTGTTCTGATCAGCAACTTTATCAGTCTTCTCTTATTTCCTGATACACACGCTTTCTTTGATATGGATATCAGAATCACTGATCAATTAAAACTTGTATTGCAAGATCTAATAAAGCTGGACGAAATTGTTTCTTCAAAAGATCTATCAAAATTTCGATGTGTAGATGAATTTATTGGTAATAATGTTCATACACGTGGTGGTGTTACCGAACATTATTCAAATAGATTTCTTTTAAATGATCCATATGATTATAAAGATTTAATATCTCAGCATTTAATAACACCTCTACCTTGGAAATCTGATGATTTAATTATTTTAACAAATAGCATATGTGGATCTTCTTGCACTCTTATCGCAGAAGGTGCTGCAGAAGTTAATAATATAGCTACCGTAGCAGTTGGTGGATTTGTAGATTCACCTTTGTCATATGCTTCTTGTCCAGGTGGAATTGTTATTGATTCAACGCACATATTTAATATTATATCTAAATTAAATTTACAAAATAATACTTTAATGCCTAAACCTTTTATTCTAGGTGGAAAACTTACTTTTCTATCTTCAGAATTTTACAGTATAAAAAATTCCGATCAACTATTAGAATTTTTGTATAAACCTGCTGATTTTAGGCTGTTTTATGATGATAAAAGTTTTAGAGATCAAACCATATTATGGTCACAAGCTGCTAATTTTATTGGAAAGAAGTCTAAGATTTGTTCTTAATGAGCTTAACCAATATATTAAAATTGTAATCATTAAATTCTTAATAAAGCTAATTGTTCCGTATGTTAAGTCTTTCTAAATATATTGAAAACTTATTTTATCATTAATATACTAACATAGTAACCCGTGTTTTTCACGAAATAAATAAATATTTATTTATTCTATAGGTTGACATGAACGCTATTGAATGATCAAATAGTTAATTAGGGTAGCTGCGCAACGTGTGACGCCGCGCAGGACCAGTACAATCACGTATGCACGTGTAAATTCGATTAT